TGTGCAGTATCAGGACAGACGGACACTGACCACCGGTAATGTTTGCTCTGCCTGTAAACAATGTGGTTGAGTGAGTGAAAAGCAGAGTAGTAAATAGTATCATCAGAAGCTGAGTTGATATTGGAAGGGTCCCTTAATCGTATATTCAGAATAGGACTGTTAGCTTTGCTAGGTTATTTAATGACTGTCTGACTAGATTCAGAGAGTTAAGCATCCTAACTACTTTGTACAGATTAATCAAGGTAGAGCTACCAGTGTACTCTGGCCTATGTGTGTAAGGGAAGCAATGATAGTCATTTCTGGTAGAGCATTGAGAGGTTTCAAACTTGGGTCTATTGATACTTTCCTGGGTACTTTGTTGTTGTTATGTGCCGTGAAGTCGGTTCCGACTCATAGTGACCCTGCACAGGGTTTCCGAGGCTGTTAATCTTTACGGGAGCAGAACGCCTCATCTTTCTCTCGCGGAACCGCTGGTAGTTTCAAATTGCTGACCTTACAGTTCGCAGCCCAATTCGTAACCACTACGCTACCAGAGCTCCTTCGTACTTTAGGGATGTAAAAGAACATGACAGTTCTTCTATCAAAGAGGAAAATGCCTATCAGCAGCTGTACAGAGCAGCAAGTGCCAAGGACTTGAGAAAAAATAGAGTCCCAAGTTGGATAATAAAAAAGGCACACCGAAGAATCGATGCATTTGAATTATGGTGTTAGTGGAGAATATTGACTGTAGCATGGACTACCAGAAGAACAAACAAATCAGTCTTAGAAGAAATACAGCCAGAGTACTCCTTAGAAGTGAGACTTTGATTTGTGTACTTTGGACACATCAGAAAAGTCCAATTACTAGAAAATGCTGTTCGTAGAAAGTCAGTGAAAATGAGCTGGATTGACACAGTAGCCACAACAGTGGACCCATACCCTGGATTCAGGAAGGTGGCGTAGGAGCAGGCAGTGTTTCTCTGTTAATGCATAAGGCAGCCATGAGCTTGATTGCAACTAACAGCAGGTGTTGTGAGGAAAAGGATGCTGATTGAGAGGAAGAGAGGTACTCACGATGACATTACCATTACTAGTAAGCTTCAACTTGGAAGGAAAATAGAAGATCATTAGATGTCATTGTAGGTTTTTGAATTGAGACATGACATGGTCAGAACTCAGCTTTAGGAAGAGTAATAATCAAGTGTTGTCTTAGTTGAAGATGGAACAACTAGAAGTATGGAGGTCAGTTGGGTCAGTGGTCCGGACAAGATGGTAGACGAGATAATACTGATCAGAGATTGTGGGTAAGGAGCAGAGAGGGCTTATAGCATTCCTTCAGATATGTGGAACTTACTAGAAGATGAGACTTTAGGAGAGATCCTAGTCATCTCTAAGGTTTTGTGCTTAAAGTACGGGGCACGTGGAGTGCTGATTAATCACCAGTTCCTTAGGAGACACCCTTTGGGAGAATTGGTGAGTCATTTTTTCCCAGAAATCTTAGGTTTCTGGATCTTGAGCCTCTTAAGTGGAGAAAGGAAAAAACAAGAAAAGTAGAATGATAATGATGGTGGTGATTGTTATTAGATACTGTTAAGTCAGTTCCGACTCAAAGCAACCCTATGCACAACAGAACAAAAATCACTGCCCGGTCCTGCACCATCATCACATTTGTTACGTTTGAGCCCATTGCTACTGCCACAGTGTCATTACATCTTGTTGGGGGTCTTTCTTATTTTTGCTGACCTTCCACTTTACCAAGAATGATGCCCTTCTCCAGGGACTGATCCCTTCTGATACTGTCCTGGCTTCTATGGAGCATTGTGACTGTACTTCTTCTAACACAGATTTGTTCTTTTGGTAATCCATGGTATTTTTAATATTTTCCTCCTACACCATAGCTCAACTTTCACATGCACCTTAGTCTTCATTGATGTCTTTGTTCTGTAGTACTTTTCAGAGGTCTTGTACAGCCAATTTTCCTAATGGAATAAATACGTTGTTTGATTTTTGACTGCTGCTTTGTGAGTGTTAATTATGAAGTCAATAACAACTTCAGTCATTTCTCCATTTATCATGATGTTATTTGTTGGTCCAGTTGTGAGGACTTTTGTTTCCTTTACTTTGAGTTGGCACCTCCAATTACACTCTTCCCAACAATATGGCAAAGGATAGAGATATCTCTATAATTATTTCCATCGGTTTGATTTCAGTCTTGAGTAGCAGTATGAAGAGGTAAAAAGAATTCTGGCGTAGGAGGCAGGAAACTGAGTCTTTTGGGTCTAGACTTAGACTAAAGAGTTCTCTGACTTTAGATAAATTGCAACCTATGGGCCTTGATATTTTTTTATGAAAATTGAGGTGTAGGAGCAAAGACTTGAGTTGATCTAAGGCCTTCCAGTGCCACAATTCTGTGTTTTCTAAGTGTTCTGAGGTGTGTGTGGTCTTGACATGTAATAATTTCTATATGGGAATCTGAACATGGAAGAATGTCAAAGTTTTGCCTTTTTCACCTTCATTAGTATTCTTAGCTATTAGGAAACAATCTCATAGCTGTTTGGGAGCAAACAAAACAATATAAAAATAATTTGGGGATGGGGTTCTTGGGGTGCTTGCATTCTAGTGGCCACTTCTCACATATGGGCCACTTTATTTCTACAGTGGCTAAATGTCTGCATGAGTTATACCACATTCACACACTAATTCTCAGTTCGAAACTACCAACTGTTCTCCGGGAGAAAGATGAGACTTTCTGCTCCTGTAAAGATTTATAGCCTTGGAAATCCTGTACAGGGTCACTGTGAGTCAGAATCAACTCCAGGGCACATGACCATACCCACCATTGTGTGCAAAGGACTGCTAGCTATTTTATATGTAACATATATGCTGATATAGCAGTCTACTTTGCATGGTAGTGTGGCACTATAGAAATGACTATGAAATTTAAGCCATGCAAAATGAGCTTAATTAACAAGGAAGATTACAGTTGTTCTGTAACACACTTAAAGTTTTTTTGTCAAAGCATTAAAAATGATCTTACTGTAGATTATAAATGGGGAAACAAAAAGGATAGAAAAGCTAATATTTATTATGCTGTAATTTAAAATATGAAGATTGAGAATTAAAGTATGTTGAATTATTTTGTAGAGACTGTATCAGTAGTTTAGGCAACATTTCTTCCTCTCATTGTATATTTTATGACACATAGCAAGCATCTCTTCTGTCTTGGCAAATTGTCATATACCTTCCTAAGTTTGGCTCAACTTCCAACATTTTATCTTTCTGCTTTCAGTGTGGTGTGATAGCTCTGAAAATTCCTTTTGAGTGTGAAGGTTTTGCTGTGGCATCGTCATCTTTTTCATCACAAAACCATTTTCTTCATTTATGTTGATCAATTCAGCTTTGCTAAATCCCTCAGACAGACTAGGTAGAGTCTCTAAATGGTGGAGCTTCAGCATTTTCACAGCCAGTTGTAACTGGAACTATTAGGAAGTGAAACTAAAATTTCACTTCCAGTGTTCCTAATAGTTTTCACTTCTTTGCTGCTCTTAAATCTTTACTGGTCAATTCCCTCTTTCAGTTATTCATCAGTCAAATGTCATGTGGGAGACAAGGAGGCAACACAGTGAGAGACTTGGCTGTTCACACATAAACCACATAGTAGATTTGTAGTCATCCCTCACTGACAGACTTTCAAAGAAGCAACATGATTGGTCACTGTTCATGATGCACATGTAATAATTTGTGAACTGAAGAGTTAGCAGCAAAGTGTGAACTTTATGAAATTACTCAGAGTAACTGTGTCATGGTAACTGCCACTTTTCTTTCCAAGCCATAGGCACTGTAGTGAGAACTTCCTGCTGCAAGTGTTGCTTTTTCTTTAAGAAAAGAACAAAAGCCACACTGTTGATTTGGCTTTTACTTCTGCCGTAATTTACTACATTAATATAGAGACTAGGGAGTACATGCTTGGTTCCAGAAGAAAATATTTAAGCAAAGAGTCTACATTATTTTACATATAACTCATGATGCATTTGGAAACAGGTCTCTGTCCTATTGGTATATGCAGTGGTGATAAGTAATTGGTGTATAGTGAAAAGAGTACAGGTTTTGGCATCATAAGGGTTATTTTACCTCCTTAACCTTTATTTTCTTAACCTGTCAAATGAAGATAATGTATCTTAGAATTGTTGGTTTAAGTATAAATGAACTATTGCAGTGCCTGGCACATTTTAGGTGTCCAATAATTTCTTTCCTTTCCAAACCAGAATTTGTCATTTAGATTTATTTCTTCCAGTTGTCTAGCATTTATTTTGTATTTTCCAATTTGATGCAAAGGGAATGATTTTGGAATTAACACATCTATCATACCAATTTAAAAGCATACAGTACAGAATATAAAAAATATAACTTGCCAGTCACAAAAGTGGTTAATTTTAAACTGGCAGTTAAAGTAATTTCTCTCAGTAGTATCAATCCTATTTCTCAGAAATGGTTATTTTTAAGGTAAAATGAAATTTGTTTATAAAGGGATTGTTTAAAAGATATTTGTGTTTACAATTTTTGATATAGCTTTATTTATGGATTTGTCTCCCATTTATTTTCTAAAATCCTTGGGAAGTGTAACACATTTTCTTTGTACTGTGTTGTCTGAACCCTTGCACATGTTGGCTTGCTTCATTATATTGTCTGATTAGGATTTTTTTTACTATTTATCCTGTTAACCTTTTATTTTTAAGATACAAATTTAAAAATTAAATGTGATCATTTTGGAAGTTTTCATTTTTAGATCTTGTTACAGTATTTTATTTTTCTAATGAATCAATCAGAGATCACCAACCAAGGACTGTATGACTTTTCAGTTGTGTGGGGAGCTACAACCAACTTTAAAATAAATAAAATAAAATGGTGAAAAGGTGTACACCCTTCCACACACACACTTTATTTTAACCTGTGGCCCACTGCACATAACAATTTACTATATCTGCAGGATTTATGACTTACTTGTCACGTCTTTCTTTTAGTAACAGAAGAGAAGAAGTCTTTAAAGCGAACTTTTCAGCAGATACAAGAGGAGGAGGATGACGACTACCCTGGAAGTTACTCTCCGCAAGACCCTTCAGCAGGACCACTCTTGGTAAGTGTTGACCAAGTATTGGCTCTGTGAAGTGACTTCTGATTGGAAGAGGATGGCCACAAGGTGGCACCAGTAGCACTAGTATGGACTCACCAGAGGGCAGCCCTTGGGGCACTGCTGCAAGATCCACCATTGAAGCTTGTCAAATAGCAGATTTGCGTTTATCTTTTTGTGGGATGGATTCTTTGTTTTTAAAAGTATTTGAAGTTGTTTCTGCATTTTCACTCCTAGAAAATAAAAAAGAATTTTGCGAAAGATGATGTTACAAAGACATTCAAAAGTCCTCTGAGGATGCCTGCCTCCAGTAGTACCATTGTTTTTATAAGCAAACAACTCTGTAGTTTCTAAGGACTAACTGTGTAGTATTAGTGAATCTGCTGTACTTGTGTGGTGCTGCGGGTTAATGTGCCAGACTGAAAGCCGTTTGAACTGCAAAGTCATCAGTTCAAGCTCACCAGCTGCTCCTCAGAAACCCTATACAGGGTCGCTATGGGTCAGAACCCACTCAACGGCACTTAACAACAACAGCCTGTTTAAACAGCGAGCTAACCTTTAGTGGACCATGTGTTTGCCTTCCTGGGCCTTTCATATGAGTTAATTTATGAGCCTGTTCAGTTGGTTCCTTTTATTTATTAATTATATGAAGCTCAGGGAGACAGATTGAATAACTTGCCCAGTGTTTTAATTGAAGCCTAGCTCTGCCTGATTTCAGAGGTCTTCTTCTTTTCAGTGTGTCACAGTGTTATTGTTGTTAAGTGCTTTCAAGTTGGTTCCGACCCATAGCGACCCTGTATAGAGTTTCTGAGGAGCAGCTAGAGAGCTTGAACCGCCAACCTTGCAGTTCAAATGGCTTTGCAGTCTGGCGCATTAGCTCACAGTACCACACCAGGACTCCTGTGTCACAGTGCCATTACCCAAAAAGAGCTTTACTTTATTACACATGGCTTTATTGTGCTTTATCAAAATGTTGGGTTAGGCTGGGCATCAAATGATTCCAGCTTATAGCAACCCTATAGGACAGAGTACAATTGCCCCATAGGGTTTCTTTTGCTTTGGAGTTGGTTCCGACACATAGCAACCCTGTATAGGCTTTTCAAGGAGTAGCTGGTGAGTTTAAACCACCAACTTAGGAGTTCAAACTGACTTTGTACTTATCCTGTAGCGCCACACCAGGATTCCATAGGATTTCTAAGGCTATACAGATTTTTACAGAAGCAGGCAGCCACATCTTTCTCCCAGCGGTGCTGCTGGTGGGTTCAAGACACTGACCTTTCAGGTTACAAGTTACCACCCGGACTCCTTAATGACAGCACTGTCAGGTCATGTCTCTCTGCATTTAAAACGGTAATGTGCATAATTTAGTTAAGATTTCTTTCTGCTTTGGCAGATCTTTCTAATGAGTTACCTGTAATGCCGTACAGTTTTGTTTAATATTTTGTGTTTTTTTTTTTCAATAATAAACTCTTCTTTGTTTAAAAAACAAACCAGGGAACTGCAAGCAGTGTCACAAAACAAAATGTGTATAAATTGTTTAATGCAAAACCAATATGTTCTGTAAACTTTCATCCAAACTCCAATTAAATAAATCAATTAAAGAGGAAAAATCCAAACCAACAAAAACTGTAACACAAACACCCTTAATTTGTCCATTTTCAGGATAATCCAACTACCACCTAAATAATCATTTATTCCTAGGTCATTATGTACTTGCAAGATTCTGTGTTTTCTAATAATTTAATAATTCTTTCATTGATATATACAGAACATGTATTCTTTGTTCTTCTCAGTTTGTGACTCATGAATTTGACAGTTAATTTTGGAGGTATTTGCCCAAAATGAAAATGTCCTCGATGTGGGTAAGGCAAACCCAAGAAAGAATTGAAGTAGGTTTTTGTACATTTTATTTAATCAGTAAAAATGCAGTTGATAAACATCTTTCACATACACCTTATTCCATACTAGAGACTGTTCTCTACTGGCAATTAGTCATTATTTCCTGGTGTGGAGCTGTGGGTTAATGTGCTAGATGGCAAAGTCAGTTTGAACCACAAGGTCGGTGGCTCTAGCTCACCAGCTGCTTCTCGGAAACCCTATGTAGAGTCACTGTGGGTTGGAACTAACTCGACTTGTCACTTAGTAACAACAACAATATGAACTAGACCCTTTTATTTTTTTCGACTTGCCAAAGATAAGTGATTAAAGTAATAAAACAATTAGAAAGAAGTTCACTCTTGTCCTGCAAATTCAAATTTAGAAAAATTTTGTACATTTCTTTGGCATTCTTATCATTCACTTCAGTATAATATAAATTCATATTGTTCACTTCTAGGACTAAGAACAATATTTTAAATGTCATTAAAGAAAGGTTTTAGAATTTGTCTCCACCTCATTTAATTCCAGTGAATTTCTTCCAAACCCTCATCTCTCTTAATGGATAGTGTTGTTTGTGTTTTTATTGTACAGACTGAGGAACTAATCAAAGCTTTGCAAGATCTGGAAAATGCTGCATCTGGGGATGCTACCGTCCGACAGAAAATTGCCTCTCTGCCCCAGGAAGTGCAAGATGTTTCTCTATTAGAAAAAATAACAGGTGAGAAGGTAGATTCTGGAGAATGGGGGAAATCGTTGTATCAAATCCCGGGACGTGCTTATGTCTGTAGGTACAGACATTTCACATGGTGTTGGGTGCTACGCCATCTTGGGATTTGAACAGTGAAGCTACTGGGATAGTCTAAACTTCCATAGTGATGCTAGGAATGATTGCAGAAGTCCTGACAGGCCACAACCTGTGGCACTCTAAATAATAAGGAAGGCCTGTTGTAAACTGTTCCAAAAAACAAACAAACTGTGTCAGGGGAGGCATTAATTTAATAAAAGAAAATAATTTATGATTCAGTGCTGTGTGATTTACACAGGCCATCCTGGGTTATGAATGTTTTACTTGACTTTTAATGTTAAGTAAATTTGCTTTCACTTTGAAACAATTGAACCAACCCTTACATGCAACAAATTCTCCATCACAATCATCTCACTTGCTGCATGTGCAGCTTTTTAACCATTGGAAAGGCTCTGAATCTTTTCTTGCACTAAAGTAAGGATAAATAAGAATCATATGCACTTGTTCCAAATTACCTACAAATTCTTAGCCACAGAGACGGATCTTCTTCATAACCCAGGCTGTACAATATGTGCTGCCACATTCCACAGATTATGGTGCCTTCACTGCCAAGAAGTCCAGGTGTATATTGTTGGTCATGTTGTTTTACACTAGTGATTAAACAAGGGGAAGTAGACAACATTACTCCACCTTTATGCATGGGAAATTGAAAAGAAGGAATGAACCATGAACTAATATTTATAGGTGATACTTTGTGCTAGGTGCTTCTACTCTGCATGGTGGTCTTTTGAAATCTCTGATTGTATATCCCCTTCATACCATATAGGAGGAAAATAAGCTTTGAGAAGTTAGGTGTCTTATGTCACACAAGTATTGGATCTCGGGACTCCAGCTTAGGCTGGAAAACTGTTATTTCCATTATAAGAACCTGAAACTATTTCCACACTCTTCTGGGGTCCACCATTTTCCCCTCTAGTCTCTTGACTTGACCACATCTCTGACTTCCTCCATATCTGTTTAAAGGAAATTAAGGGCACTCATGAAATATTTGCTTCATTCAACAAATATTCAAGACAACTGTGTAGCAGATGGTGTTAGTGTTTCACCCTGGCCTACCCAGTGTTTAGGAGTTAAGTGCCAAAAAGAAAGATAAATTGGGAGTATGGGGGCAGAGAGTGACGGAGGGAGATCGTATTTAAATGTGATGAGGGAAGGACTTTCTGTTGAGATTATATTTGAACAGAGTCTTTCCAAACATGCGGAAACAAGCTGTAAAGTGTTCCTAGGAAGGAAGTATGACCCAGGTAGAGAGAATAGTTCAGGTAAAGACCTTGGACAGTGTGGTTAGTTAGAGAAACCCAATGGTAGCCTTCTAAATGACAGCAAGCATTTCCATTCAATCCTTTTTGCTTCCCTAGTTCCAACAAATATTGTAGCCCTGCTGGGACCTTCAATCCATTGATCCCGCCGCCTTTTTTTAATCTTTTAGTCTTCTCTCTCCTTATAGCCTCATTTTTCCTTCACTCAACTTAGAGTCCATGATTTATAATTACTTTCTCCCTATACCTTCAACCTCATCTCCTTTCTTTTCTTTGCTCTGGAAGAAATCCTCAAACTGGCTAACACCAACCTTTTGTCTCTTCTTTTCTTTTACCGACACAGGTGAATGTGGCTGGGTAAAAGAAGCCACACAGCTTTGCCATATGCTGGCTTTTCCTCCTGTTTCTGTGGATGAACATGTTGCTTTCCTAACTGGTTTCTCTACTTTGTGTTAGACTTCATTCTTTGACCTATTCAGGGCTGTGCTCCAAGTCTCTTCCTTTCTCCTGCATCTTCAGTTTTTGTTTTCTTCTTTCTATTGGATCATTCCCAGTAGTATGAAACATGTATTTTTTTTCTCCACATGAGAAAAACTTTTTGACTATATAGAGAAAAAAACTATGTCTTCCTCCAGATACTTCCTTATTTACCTGTCCTTGATAGTACACTACCCTGAATGGATTGTCTGTGCTCAACTGTTTCTACTTTCTAGCCTTCTGTTTGTTCTGGATTCCGCTTTATTGAAACTGTTCCTGTCAAAGTTGCTGATGACTTACATGTTGCTAAATTCAATGTAGGGATCTCTGACTTCATCTTCACTTGACCTCAGTAACATTTGGCCATTGATGGTTTCCTCTTCCTGCATATGTTTTCTTTACTTGGTGTAGTAGAAAGCAGTGATCTCTCTTCTCTGTCTCCCCAGAGATGTCTGCATCCCAATCATTGGAACTTATGAATATGTTGTCTTATATGGGAGAAGGGAAGCTATAGATGTGATTAGGTTAAGAATCTTGAGATGGATTATCCTCAATTACCCAGGTGGGTCTAATGTATTCTGTGGGTCCTTTTAGAAGAGGAAGGTAGAAGGGTCGGCGTCATAGAATGAGAAGTGACTGTGGACACAGATGTCAGTGGTCAGAGAGAGAAATTCAGAATGCTATGCTGCTGACTAGAAGATAAGGGAAGGGACTAGTGACCTAGGAATGCAGGAGGCCTCCAGAAGCCTAGAAAAGGCAAGAAAACGCATTCTTTCCCTTACAGTTTATAGAGGAACACAGGTCTGCCAGCACCTTGATTTTGCCCAGTGGAAACTGACTTTTTGGCCTTGGGAAATATAAGGGAATAGATTTTTGTCATTTTAAGTCTGTGGTAATTTGCTTCAGCAGAGTGGAAAGCTAGGACCCATATTCTCCTGGCTCTCCTTTCACTGGCTAAACCTTTTCATTTTCTTTGTTGTCTTCTTCATGCCACCTTGACCTTTTTTTAAATTAATAACTTGTTTTTGTGGTTGTTGTCTTTTATCGCTTAACGTTGAGTACTTAGCCCTCTAACCTAGCTAGTCTCACTGATAATAGGTCTCATCTATTCTCTCAACTTTTAATTGGTTCTACAAGGGATCTTCAGAAAGTTTATCTAAAAAGAGAATTGAAAGGAACAAACAAAATGGCTGATCGGGTGGAAGTGCCGTAAAGGAGCTCCGCCAGCAACAACCCAGAATACCCAACCAAGTAGGCTCGGGATGGTTCCAGAACTCTGAACCACATATAAAGGAATACTTAGAAGGTTGGAAGGCTCATAGCTGGGGGAATTGTGGAAGAAGCAAGAAATCTATTGCTTTCTAGTCTGGGACGCTCAGCTGCTCCAGGAGCCACCATCTTTGGCGAGACCACGTGGAAGAAGAATCGGAGCGGGCAGAACCGCTGAGATAAAGGTGTGGACATACTTTTCTTTTAGTATCTGTTCATTGGTCCCTTGGTATCTGCGCAACTCCATTCTGGTGACTATAGGGGTACTTGAGCTACTGGGCACCCCAGCCCCACCCTCGGAGGGCTCTACTACGCATGTGCACAGATCTCCTCAAATTTTAAAGAGACAGTTTCCAATTAAAACCAAACGATTACAGCCAGCCCTGAACTGTTTCCAACTAGAAAAAAGGCCTAAACGGGGATTGTGGAGC